AAATGTCAGCTGACAGCTTGTCAAGCAAAGCCCTCAAGGTAAGAGCCTGTTAGTGCTGAAGAACAAGCTTCCCCCAGTCATGGGTTTCACGTGTCTTTAAACTGACATCAAGTCAGACCAAGATGTGGGAGGGAGAGCTCATCCCTCCATAAAAATAGACAGTTTCACATTCTGGTCACAATTTAGTTAATCAAACTGGCCTCCATATCCCAATCTAGAGCAATTCAAAAGTGTGAAGGTATCTTTATCCTTCATGCCCAGGCAGAATTTTTGCATATCTATATATCTAATACCGAAGTCGCCCCCTGCGTGTGGATACTTATTTCCGCACATCGGGGTCACCTGGGGGGGAGGGAGATGTTTGTGCAGACTTGGGGCAGTCCCCAGGTGTGCACAAAAATCTGAAACCTGTAAAAAAAATAGCCCCGAAAGTGACAGAGCATCCCCTGCGCATGCGCAGGGGGATACTTAAATCCCCCCAAAAGTGACAGAGTGTCCCCTGCGCATGCGCAGGGAACACTCTGCAAACTCCCTCGCCGCCGCTGCTTCGAAGCCAGGGGGGGGAACCAAAAAGTCACTCGGGCCTCGCTTTGGAGCCAGGGAGAAAGAGAAGGGGGTAGATTGAGCGAGGTGGGTGGAGGGGGGTGGAGGAGATGGGGGAACTGGTGGGATGGGGGGGAATTTACCTCCTCCTCCTGCTTCCTCCTCTTCCTTATAGGTGTGGAGCTCCCTCCCCCCCTCCCGCGAGTATCGCGGGTCCCGTCCCTTGTCTCTATATATTCTCTTCCATCAGCTTGTATCCAAACCCTTCCCTCCCTCGGTACCTTTCAGAACCGTAACTAGCTCATTTTGTACCCGAGGCAAGAATATAAAATTGCACCCCCTATAATTCATAGTAGTTACTTTGGTAATAAGGTAAATACATAAATAACAAGAGTAATAATAACACAATGTTTATTTTAGTCATGATATACTTTTTCTATGCCCCTCAATTTTTTGAGAGCCATTTTGGTGTAGTGGTTAAGAGTGGCAGTCTCTAATCTGGAGAACCGGGTTTGATTCCCCACTCCTCCACATGAAGCCTGCTGGATGACCTTGGGCCAGTCACACTTCTCTCAGGGCTCTCTCAGCCCCACCTATCTCACAGGGTGTCTGTTGGGAGACAAAGGGAAGGTGATTGTAAGCCGCTTTGACAACCAGTTTGATGTAGTGGTTAGGAGCGCGGACTCTAATCTGGGAGAACCAGGTTTGAGTCCCACTTCTCCACATGCAGCTGCTGGTGTGACTATGGGTCAGTCACAAGTTCTTTCAGAGCTGTTCTCATAAGGGCAGTTCCTGAGAGAGCTCTCTCAGCCCCACCTACCTCACAGGGTGTCTGTTGTGGGCATAGGCGTAATCTTCGTGGGGGCGGCGGGGCTTCAGCCCCCGCCGAAATTTTCAGGAAGCTGCTCAGCCTCCCCCGGGAGCCACCCTTGCTCCTAGCAAAGCAATGCCTCTGACCCAGCCCCAGCCCCCCCCCCGGGAAATTGGAAAGTCTACACCCTTGGTTGTGGGGAGGGGAAGAAAAGGGGATTGTAAGCCGCTCTGAGACTTCTTTGGGTAGTGAAGGGCGGGGTATAAATCCAATATCATCTTCTTCTCTTGAGGCTCCTTTGGGTAGAGAAAAACGGGGTATAAAAACCAGCTCTTCTTCTTCTTGTGCTGAGACAAGCGCCTCACTTGCCTTGCCCTTGTTACAGCTCTGGCACCTTGCTCCACTTCCTTGTGCTGGCTCCCTCTGTTTTTTTATTTCATAACTGTCTTTCCTGCCTATATTTATTGTCCATCTTCCTCTTGCAGCTCCTGCATTGTCAGGTATACACCCATGCAAGGCTTAGCATACAACTGGAAAGAATCAGACAAGCTCTACAGAATCCTGAAAGACCAAACTTTATTTTTTAGTAGGGTGGCCAACCTCTAGATATAGGGTCCAGAGATCTCCCAGAATTGCAACTGATCTCCAGATGACAGATCAGTTCACCTGGAGAAAATGGCAACTTTCAAGGGTGGGCTGTATGGCGTTCTACCACACCAAGGTCCCTCCTCTCCCCAAACCCCAGCTTTTGCAGACTCTGCTCCCAAATCTCCAGGAATTTCCCAACCTGCAGCTGGTAACCCAGTATTTGAGAGGCCAAGTTTCTAATCCTCGCAACTGCAGAAATGTGTGTTGAAGCATGCGGACAGTGTCTGCAAGGGATTCCAGTGGGAGTGGAGCCAAAAGGGGGAAGAGCTTCAGCATCCTTCCCTTTTGGCCTATGGTGTTTTTCCTGTAAGGGTGTGATTGTGTGAGTTGTGACTGTGTGTTTGTGCAGGTTTTTTTAAATGTGATCTGTTTTTATTACCATGTAGGGTTGGCACCACATTTCCTGTTCTGTCTTGATTACCTTCATTCTACTAGCTTCTGGGGAGAGGGGTTGCTTATTTGTTTTTCCTGTGTTACAATTTGACATCTATCTTTAAAAGGTACAAATGATGGCATGACTAATATGATATGGTATGTCTCCAGGGACTCCATGCCCCCCCCCTCCACTCAATAAAAATAATTGAGAGGCCAGGAAAGTAGAAATGATACTTCATAGGAATCTTATTTTCTATGTACGTATTGCAAACCACAATTTCTATGACTCCAGATGTTATATTCTGTCACGTGTCAAATATAATTAATTTATGTGCATGTATATAGTACTGTAGGAGCTGCGGTGGCTCAAGTGGTTTATTTATTTATTTATTTTTATCCCGCCCTCCCGCCGAAGTGGCTCAGGGCGGCTTACAACAGTAAAACAGTAAAACAATTCATCTAAAACAATCTATACAACATTAAAACCCTGAACTGCAGGCTTTGGAAGGTCAGTAGTTCAGCAGTTCGAGACCCGAGTTGCCACATGATGGAGTGAGCTCCCATCTCTAGTTCCAGCTCCTGCCAACCTAGCAGTTCGAAAGCAAGAAATTGCAAGTAGATAAATAGGTACCACTTTGGTGGGAAGGTAACAGCGTTCCGTGCGCCTTGGTGTTTAGTCATGCCGGCCACATGACCACGGAAACGTCTTCGGACAGTGCTGGCTCTTCGGCATTGAAACGGAGATGAGCACCGCAACCCTAGAGTTGGAGTCGACTGGCTTTCGAGCAAGGGAACCTTTACCTTTATATAGTACTGTTCATTTTTGAGTTACCCTATTATCTTTTTCTAAAAAGTAGTCTGGGAATTGTCCCCCTCACAGGTTCCATAACTGATCTCCTCTCACAGCTTCCCTAAACTGAGCAAGAAATTAGCATATGAGGGGAAAGGAATGTAACTGGTTGCCGTTGCCTTCCTGACTTTCTAGGAGAGGAGCGGATTCTCTTGGCTAAGGGAGGGCTTCTTATGAAACAATGGGTATAGGACTAGCTGGGTATTGTCTTGGGGTTTGAAATGTTGAATAGCCTAAAATGGTACTCATAAGACAGACCTCAGGCTACAAGCAGTCTATAGAACAGCTTAAAAAGGACCCCTTCCATTGAAACCTGGTAAAAAGGCATGTTTTGGTCTGGCACCTAAAGAAAGGTAGGTGCCAGACAAGCCTTGAGGTGGAGAGCATTCCAGAGGTGAGGTGCCACCACTTTGGTCCTCACCCACCTCAGTTCTGTATATGGGGGTCCAAAGACCAGGACTCAAGAGCGGACCTCTCATTTACGTGACCAGGGCAGATAATTACCTACCTACCTCTAGCCCTAGTTTCCCACCCCTGAGGAACTGAGTAGGAGGAGGAAAAAATGGCCACCACATAGTGATGCCCTAGGAGTTTCCTGTAGTCTCTATGTTAAAGACCATAGAGACTAGGGGAGGCAGCCTAGAGCATCACCCAGAAGTTATATCATATCTTCCCCAGACTCTGTAGAGGCAGTGTTGGGAACCCTACTCAAAGTGCATCTTAACTTCACATTTGTATGTGTACATCTTTTTTCTTTATATTAAGAGCATATTTGTTGCAGAATTTAGGTTTTCTGGGTGCAAAATATTATTGGATCTGCTCAATTTTCTCCAGCCCTTTTACCTTTTTACCTGAGCTGACCAGCACTCAGTTATGTTCGATTTCCTGTGTTCCTCCCTTTGTTGTTCCTTCCTTTTGACACTTACCTGCCTATTCTGTGAACAGATCAAGCGGGAGATGGGTGAGAACACGCCACACCTGTCAGATGAGGAGTTAATGGGGTTGTCGGTGCGAGAGCTCAACCACCATCTGCGAGGCCTCTCCAAGGAGGAGGTGGCCCGGTTGAAACAACGCCGGCGTACACTGAAGAACCGGGGCTACGCAGCCAGCTGCCGGGTCAAGCGTGTTTGCCAGAAGGAAGAGCTGCAGAAGCAGAAAACAGAGTTGGAAAGGGAGGTGGATAAGCTGGCTCGCGAGAATGCTGCCATGCGCCTTGAGCTCGATGCCCTGCGTAGCAAGTATGAGGCGCTGCAAGGCTTTGCCCGCACGGTCACCGCTCACGGTACTACTGCCAAGGTGGCTACGGCCAGTGTTATTACCATCGTCAAGTCTGGCTCCAACCAGGCATCGTACTCCTAGTGCCTACAAGCAGAGTTGTGAACTGAGTCCTGTTGCCATTCCTCTGCCCAGCTCTCACCTAGAACGGCTGTAGCTGCACTGGCCCCTTCTCCTCCTGTTTTTCTTCCGCCATCTTAAGGAGACTGAATTGACTTGAAGACAAAATGGCTGAACGTTGAACTTCCTCCTCTGTCCCCTGTCTTCGTTGGGGGAAGGGTGGGAAGGTGGTGCCTGACTCGTGTTATTTTTGCTGTTAATGTGATCCCTGAATTGGAATGCAGTGGCCAGTTATCCTTTTTCCCCTTCCTGATCCGCTTTTCTCTTCCCACTTTGTAGTCTGTCTTCTTCCCCTCTAAGTTAGTGTAATGAGCTGAAGATGGCTTCTCTGTGGTAGCTGTGAATACAGCTATAGAGAATGTTCGGTTGTATAGGTAGCAAAAGGGAAATACCTTATTCATGAGGGAGCAAAAACGATGCGATGTTGAAGCTAAGGAGAACTGAGAGGAAGGGCGGGGCATAAATGTAATAAAAGCCTGTATTGTCAGTAAGAACCAAGGAGCAATCTAGGAGGTCACAAGAACTGGTTACCTTTCAGATCTCTTGACAGCCCAGGTTGCCCTTGGCCTGTTTGTGAGGATTGTCATACATCCCAATTTTATACCATAAGCGAGCAGCCCTAAGCTGTGAAACCCCATGTGATGAGAGCATTACAAGACCAACCCAAGTTAGAGTTTCCAATGAGCAAGCACGCTTCATAGCAATACAGGAAAGGGGACATTAGTTGAGGCAAGGGGAAAGAAGGAGGATTATTTTGGGGTGATGACGAGGATAATGAGAGGAAGGCGATCATGAGGTCCGCGTGAGAGCAAAGTCGCTGGCATGCCATACTGTATATCAATACTGTATATCAAAGGAGAGACCACTGCTGCCTCCAGCTATGAATGCATGTAAACACTGGTTCATGTATACTTTTCACCTAACAGTGCTGTTGGGCTGAGGGTACAAAATGTCTGTCGTGGAACAGAAGCAACTTCATAAATGGTGAGTGTAAGGTGAGGAAAGTAAAGATGGGGTTGAGATGAGCCAGGCGAGAGAAGGATAAAGCACGTGAGATGGTGGGGTAGGAAAGTGGCAGCAGGGAAGCCTTTCTGTTCCGGTGTAAGCAACAAAATTTGCCTGACTTTGCAGCTGGTGTGCTGTGCACAGTGTAATGGGTATCACAACTGGGGAACAAACAAGGGGCGCAAAAGTCACCCATTCCCTAAGAAAGCCTGGTGGGGGCCAGTGTCTTACTAGGCTGTATCAGCTTGTTTGAAAATGAATAATAGGAAGTTGAAGCGTTTCCCCCCCTGACATTCTAGAGGGAAGTATTTACATTTTCTTTCCATCTTTTGACTTTTTCATTGTATGGAAACATTAGAAATCGGGAAAGAACTCCTTGCTAATATTGTGGAGATAAGTGTGCAGTGTATTAGCAGACTCTAACTGCAGGTCTGGTAGGACAGTACAGAAGAAATGCCAATTCCTCGCTGTGTTGATGCTGTTTTTAAACGCTTTCCTCTAACTTTGTTTTCACCCAGGGCAGCGAGTTAGTTTGTGGCCACCTTTACACAAACCAAAACTGAAAGCTCCTAGAAGAGGGGGAGCTAGACAAAGAAAGCCCAGCCAGAAAAAAATCGGATTGGGAGGAATGTGTGAGAGCAGAGAGCTGGTGCTGCCCCTGAAATGTCTTGTGTCTCATCGTATTTTTCTCTTCACCCTGTTGGATCCTGCTGCATTACTAAAGCAAAAGAACTGAGGAAACTCCTTGCCGAGTACCCAGAATCTGAGTGTGGTTTCTCTCCCCGCCTTCTCAAGAAGATAGGGGGAAACACTCTTGGATTTCCCAGCAGACTGTTGCTGTTCTGCTATGAAAGGGCAGTGGGGCCTCAGGGCTAATTTAGCCCCAGCTGAAATGGGATTCTGGGTGTGGGTTTACTTCTTGAAATCATTCAAGGGTCTATGGTGCTCGTGTCCCTGTGAACAACCAGGTTGCCCCTCATGCCAGGGCACCAGCAGCCTGGTTGGGGTGGGTTGCCTGACTGGAACATGTCACCTAAGAAGAAGACTACACTGGCCAAGCCGTCTCAGCTCGTCTGCTGTCATGTGTTAAACTGGCCTGAGACTGGTCCAAACAGGGAGCAAAGCTGTAGATAGAACCTCCATACCCAGGAGAGGCTGCCCGGTCAATCTTTCTGATCTTTTTTTTTTGTTTTAAAGTAGGCAAGCTAATAAGGCAGGGATGGCTTGGATTCAAGTGCTCCTTCCTAAATAACAGAAAGGGCATTCGATTAGAGGACTCGCAAAGGCACCTTTCCCACTCTTTGCATATAAATTTGACATAGGAACCGGTGAGCATTTGTGAGCAGTCACTTCTAGGCATTGTACCATTGTGAGTTATTTAAGTGGCAAGCAGTTACCCCTTTAATTCTTTAGACATATGGGTGGGTTCACCCATCCTGCAGCTTACCTGTGACATCCACCACCACCCCCCATGATGGAATCAGCTTCCAAGCCAGTGTTGTCCTCCCTCCCGCTGCTTTAATGATTCTCATGGGTGGGTTCCTTGTTAGCATTCTTCCCTTCCCCTTCCTCATTTCCCTCCCTGTGATTTATTTATTGCACGAATATAAGTTATTTTCACGTCCTTTATGCCATTCCGCCTTGTGGCACGGCCAGGATGTTGGTACAGAGCCGTACTTTATATTTTATATATGCAAATCACATTTTATCTTCTATAGAGCAAGAAAAAAAGTACTTATTTATTTTCTGACTTACAGTAAGTGTCCTGCCAGACTCCTCTGTATTTTGTAGACTTTACAAATAAAGCCAATTTTTTTTTTCAAAACCGAAAAGCTGGAAACAAGGTGTTTGTATTTTCTCAAACTGTTTTTGTGTTTATTTAGGAGCCAGTTTGGTGTAGTCGTTAAGTGTGCGGACTGTAATCTGGGAAAACGGGTTTGATTCCCCACTCCTCCACTTGCAGCTGCTGGATGACCTTGGGCAAGCCATAGTTCTGAGAAGAGCTGTCCTTGAAAGGGCAGTTCTTGAAAGAGCTCTCCCAGCCCCACCTACCTCACAGGGTGTCTGTTGTGGGGACTCCTCCTCCTCCTCCTGCTGCACATTTTTTTGTTCTGCCTCTCCAGGGACCTGCCTGGGGCCTCCCATCCAAGTACTATCCAGGGCTGATCCTGCTTAGCTTCTGAGATCTGGTGCGATTGAGCTAGCCTAGAGCATCCAGGTCAGAGCCCAACATGGCTTACAACATAAAAATAAAAGCAAAACACCTTAAGATATTAAAATTCAGCATTAAAAATCACCAGCCCAGCATAAAAGCATAGATCATAGTAACAGGGCACTGACGGCTTAAAATAATGGTTAAAATAGTGTTTAAAAATCAACCCTTTAATTAAAAGCCTGCATGAACAGAACCATTTTGGCCTAGCACCTGCACGGTGCCAGCTGAGCCTCAAGAGGAAAGACATTCTGTATGTAAGCGAGGTGCCACTACTGAAAAAGCCCTGTTGCTGGTTGCCACCCTCTTCACCTCTAAAGGCACAGAGAGTAGGGCTCATGTGGCAAATCTTAACTGTATTCATGTAACGCTGTGGTAGGCTGAGGAGCCATGAACAAGTTTGAGGGCGCTCATCCAGACAACTGCTTTAACGTGTGCTCCAAATCTATCTCAGCCCAGCAGTGCTCATTCCCTCTCCAAGGCAATCTGATATCCTGTACACATGTAATGTGAATCAGAGCAGCTGTGCATTGGAGAGGTACCCGGAAATGCTGGCATATGCTGAACAAAATGGAGAATGACAGTATACAAAAGGTCCTAACTTTTCAATAGAATAGTATAATATGGGGAAACGCTTATGCTCTCTCTAGGAATAAAGCAGGGCTAGAGGTGAGTGGGGTTGGGGGAAGACATAAAGGGCTCTGCCATGGAGTTTCATATCACGGGCAATAGCTAATAGATGCCAACTGTACCAGTGTAACCCCTTCACACCTGGCGCTAGATGTTCTAGCTGGAAGTAAGATGACTAACATTCCCCGGGTACAAGAGACAGGACATGTGGTGTAAGGATAATATGAAGTCACCATAGCAGCTTCACTACTTGTAATGAAGTCACTGCACTAACAACAGGACCAAGCCATTTCAGCAAAGTAGCCCAAATCAAATGTGGGTTGAATGACTCGATCAAAAATTTGACAAGCCAAAGCATGGGAACGCAAGGGGCTGCAGAAATAGGTTTCAGGCATGATCCAGCCAAGATGAGTTCTATGTTCTCTTAATTGCACTGGAGGAGACTTTAGCATCTTAATTTTACTGAAATCCATTGAACATTGAATTGCGTCAGTTCTGGTAGATCTAGGGGCAGATGTAAAAAAAAGTGTAAATAACAATTCATATTCATTTGTCATGTGGAGGAAAAATGGATGCAAAGACTAAAAATCAAATGTGATTGAATGACTCCAAGAGAATGTTCTGTACAAAGAACCACCAGTTTACACACAGCACACGTTTTTGGTTTCTATAATGAAGGGGCTTGTGAATTCTTTCACTGCTCACACCGTATTTATTTTCCACTGATCAGGTTACGCATTCAGTCACATTAGGAAGCAACCACACAGCTGCTTTATTGTGTAGCTGAATGTGCACCAAACCTACATAAATAATAAAATTAATTTAGGGTGGCTTGCAGCTGACCCAATACAGACACACTGAGTTGTGAGTACAATTGGTGGAGAATCAGCTACATTTTAGCACCTGCTTAATGATTGTCGAGACAGCCTGTGGGAACTAGGCCACACAAGCCAGAATATCCACATTTAAAGTCATCTAGTATGAGACATGGCTCTCTTTAGGCAGCTCAATTCTGCTTGTAGCACTTCATCCTATGGGTTTGATGGGTAGAGGAGTCTTCCTTAAAGGGAAGGGGTTGTCTGTGATGAGAGAGAAGACACAACTTTTTTTTAAAAAAATTCACAATGCTGTAAACAAGGGCAGACAGGGAAGTTAATGTGGCCCAGAAACATGTATGGGCCACTCAGCTAAGAACTGGAGCCAGCAACATCCAGGAGAGATGTCTGCTCACTCAGCGCTTTCTCCTGCACCTCTGCCAACAGGAGGAATCCACCAGTGAGTCAGTCCTCCTTATTTGAGCCACTGGCCAGGCTTGAGACAAGCGGCTCCCTCACTGGAGATCTTCAGGAGGCAGGGCAGGCCTCGTTTGCCAAAGCTTTTGATGGCAAACGAAAAAGCAGCAGGCATATTTTTTTTAGAAGAGGAGGAGGAGGAGGAGTCTCAGAGCAGTTTACAATCTCCTTTCCCTTCCCTTCCCCTCCCCACAACAGGCATCCTGTGAGGTAGGTGGGGCTGAGAGGGCTCGATAACTGCTCCTGAGAGAGCAGCTCTGAGAGAACCTGTAACTGATCCTGGGTCACACAAGCAGCTGTATGTGGAGAACTGGGGAATCAAACCCGGTTCACCCAGATTAGAGTCCGCGTTCCTAACCACTACACCAAACTGGCTCTAGGTGAGGGAGGAAGTATTGGGTGGTTTTATTTTTATCTGGTTTCAAGCTAATGTTTTAATCATTACCTCTAAGCTGCCTTGAGCCAACAGGAAAAGCAGGGTACGGATATTTCAAGAAATAATTGGAAGCACCCACGGGGGCGTGACTATCCTCTTCACCAGTGACCCACTGGGAATTTTCCCTTGGCTATGAGTTTGCTTTGCATCTCGGGCACCCAGCTGCAGGGCATTTTATTCCTCGGGAGAATAAGAAGGCAGCAATGGAGTGGCCAGGTAGTCACTGTAGCACATATTTAATGTGCCATCAAGTCACAACCGACTCATGGAGACCCCCTCCACAGGGTGTTTAAGGCAAGAGATGAACAGAGGTGGTTTGCCATCACCTTCCACATTAGATTTATTATATGCTACAAGTACACCTGCCCTGACCTGGATAGCCCAGGCTAGCCCAATCTTGTCAGATCTAGGAAGCTAAGCAGGGTCAGTTCTGACTAGAGATGTGAAGGCCCAGAAAAAAACCGGAAAAATTCGGGGGGGAAATCGGTTTTTCCCCATTTTTTTCCTGAAGCTTTTTTTGTATTTTTCCAAAAAATAGGAAAAATTAAAAAAAGAAAAGGAAAAAATTGATTATAGAACGTTTTATTTTAACATGATGAATAAAATATTTTAAGACAAGGTGTTCAAATATTTTCCAAATCATTTCTAAAATATATATATATGGTATCAGATTGATCTAATTTCTCTGCACTGCGGACAAGCAAGTCCTAGGTTACAAACTGAACTCTCCAATGCAAGAAAAAGATGCATTTCTTCCTTTAGGAGGTGCTATTGTCAGAAGAAAAGAAAAAGGTTTCAGTTTTGTTTTTGCATGTGGGTGGGTATTCTGTTTGTAACAATTGTTTGGATACACTATATTTTTAATATGCTAGTTGTGATAATTTCATGCCAAGTAAAAATGTCCATAGTCATATTTTATGTTCCTAAAGTAACAGAATGACTTTCAATCTAGAAAAGACAAAAGAAATGCTAATGTAGCATTTTTTTCAATTTTTCCGAAAATTTCCATTTCCCCCCGAAAAAACCCGAACAAAAACCGGGGTTTTTTCCGAGCTTCAAAATTTCCGGAAATTTTTCATCTCTAGTCCTGACTAGTGTTTGGATGGGAGACCACCAAGGAATACCAGGGTCATGACACAGAGGCAGGCAATGGCAAACCACCTCTGAATGACTCCTGCCTTGAAAACTTCACAGGGTTGCCACAGGTATACCTATATACTATAGTCCCATTTACATGAAGATTGAGCTCAGAGCATGGTCACAGCCAGTTTGATGTAGTGGTTAAGTGTGTGGACTCTAATCTGGGAGAACCGGGTTTGATTCCCTACTCCTCCACTTGCAGCTGCTAGATGACCTTGGGAAAGCCATAGTTCTGTCAGAGCTGTTCTCTCAAGGACAGTTCTGGAAAGAGCTCTCTCAGCCCCACCTACCTCACCAGGTGTCTGTTGTGGGGAGGGGAAGGAGTTTGTAAACTGCTCTGAGACTCCCAAGTGAAGGATGGGATATAAATCCAATCTCCTCCTCTTCTCGTCTTTTCCAAACCTACACATCTAGTTTCACTCCGAAGAACTAAGTTGCTTTAATGGAGAGTAAACTGGTTAGACTCCAATGTAAATAGTTTGATTTTGGAAACAACCACAACAGCAGCATTTCACCACATCTTTGACAAATTACACCTGTTCCAGGACTACAGCTATCCCAGGCTCACTAACATCTACATGGCAGTTGCAGTTTCCATCAGTGGAATTTTTCTGGACCCTAAATACATAAATGGGATATTTGCATATAATGCCTACTAGGCAATTTGTGCGAGGTTACATCAATAGTTTTAAACATTGTCTCAAGAGAGAAATGTGTGTACAGATGGTATACCACCGAAGCAAACCCAGTGATCATTTTGATGGGCCAGTTGAAGTTCTGTTCTCAAGAAATCTTGTTGTAGAAATGGCTGTTGCTATGAGGAACATGAAACAAAGCAGCTGAAGCAAACATGTGATGGAATTCCTGGAATGTTACCTGGAGGTCAAAGTTTGCTAGGTGGCCTCGCCTGCTCCACATTCCATAGCATTGCCATCACTGTAAAACAAGGATCCTCTTCATATGCATGAGAAGTCAAGCAACCCATCATTACTAGGAACCAGGGTGGGTGGGGAGAATTAGGTAACTATCAGCAGCTCAAGGTCACTCCGTTTCCAAGTAACTGAGCTCAGCCTATTTCAGTTGAATATTGCC